ATCCCCTCGCTGAGGGGCGACATTTGCACCCCGGATTTCTGCTGGTCCTCGGTGCCCATGCACCCTGCTGATCCGGCCAGGAACAAGGCGCCGGTGGATGTGCCGCTGGTCAATGCGTGGTTTGGGCCCGCCCGGACCATCACGCCTCTTCACACGGATGCATATCATAACCTGCTGGTGCAGGTTGTCGGGACAAAGTACGTGAGGCTGTATCCGCCGTGGAGCAAGGCGATGAGGCCGAGGGGGGAGGAGGACGGCGTCGACATGAGCAATACTAGCTCGCTGGATGTAGGGGTCCTCGAGGGCTGGGATGAGGATGCGCAGGGAATGACCGAGGAAGAGAGGGAGGCGGCCAAGAGCGAGCTGGAGAGCGAGGAGTACTGGGAGTGCGTCCTGGGGGAGGGGGATACGTTGCTGATTCCGATGGGGTGGTGGCACTACGTGAGGAGTCTGAGTGTGAGTTTCAGCGTGAGCTTTTGGTGGAATTAGTAGGGCAACCAACACACTGCGGTCACGAGGCAACCGTGATGAGCAAGCATTGCAGTACGCAGCAAGAAAATCAAAAACAAATTACTAAACGTCTTCGCCTTCTCCCGACTTTCCCTCCCTTCTCGCCTTCGCGCCGGCCTTCAACACCTCCCACTTCTCCCTGTACTTGTCCAGCGTCTTCTGCATCTTCCGATTGTCCTTTTCCAGGCGCTCCATCTGCTTCGTGGCGGCCGCGAGCTGTTCTTCCATGTTGAGTGTCTTCTTCCGCAGCGCTTCATCCCCCGCCGCATTCAGGGCATGTGGCGCGGCGCTTGGCGAGCCAGGTCTCAGTATGCGGTACGATTCCGCAAGGGCCATTGCCGAATTCTGAGAGCTCGCTTCGAATGCGTGCAGACGCTTCGACACGACATCTAGCGTGTCCTTGAGGGATCTGTTCTGCAGACTAAGTTCTTCAATGGTGTTTCGGAGGTCCCTTTCCGTCTTGTGCGCCAGGCCGATTCTGCGCCTGGCGCCGGGGGAGACGGGGACGGGCGTCTCGCGGGCATCAACAAAGTCGTCGTCTTCGTCTTCTGGGTCGTTGCTGTGGAGGGAGGCGCCGAGACGACGCTTCTCCTTTTCGGCATACGTCAGGATGTTGGCGTAGGACATAGTGTGGCCGGTGGTGGGGACGACGTAGAAGGAGTCGTTGGTGGAGTGGCCCTCTCGCGCGAGAGCGCGCATCGTGGCCTTGGAGTAGATTTTGGACAGGTCCGGGTCGAGGGCGAGCGAGGTTGGCGGTTGGCGCGAAGCCCTGCGCTTGGGGGGCGACGATGCGACAGGCTGCTCCATGGTTGGCTGTTCCGGTGTCGGTTCCTCCTGGATCAGGGGGAGACCGGCGAAAGCGAGGGGGGCAGAGATCTTGTTGATGAGGCTACCAAAGGTGTTGTAGAATCGAGCGTAGCCAGCATCCTCGCTCGCCATGGCAGAAGCAGTTGTTTGGTCGATGCGCGGCGACGAGGCGGCGCTCTTGTTGGTGCGAGGCTCCGTCTTTGGGGGGGCCATGGGCGGAACCCAAGTAGGCTTGCCGGGCTGCGTGTCGATGATGCTCTGCATCTTGGTCCTCGATCCGTCGCGGCGAGGGTGCGGGTCGACATTTCCGGGCGCCTGGTCGTTGGAAACGCTTGGACTGAGCGGCTGTCCTCGATACTTGGATCGGATGCCCCTTGCAGAAGCCAGGTTGCTCGCAATCGATGACGACATTTCGCGAGCCGTGAAGCCCTTCTGCGTCAGACTGGGCAGCTTCTTGCCGGACTGGTGCGTCGTGGAAGCGCCCTTTTCGTCCAGCGACGTCTTTTCGTTGACATCCTCCTCGCTGGTCTGGGATACGGGGTCTGGCTGCAAGTTGAGGAGTTCGGCAAGGCGTCTATGGTGCTCTTCGAGAAGCTTCAGAGTGCGAAGCGCTTCAACGCTGGTGGTGTTTCGGGCGGCATTGGCAAATTCACCAGCGGCGAGGGTGTGTTCATTGATGGCGACGGTTGTGTCAGCAGATTGGCGGGTGGCAACGGCGGCTGCGGCGGCATGGTCGTGAGCCTTGATGATAGGCGAGGACTCCATCTCGGGAGAGTCGACGCTGCGGCGCGACGGGCGGGTATGCGATGGGATGAAGGTGGTGATGGTTGAAGTGAAAGGAGTTGAAGAATGAGCCAAAAAGGCCAACTACCGGATCTGGACATGCTGCAATGATGGAGCGGGAAAATGTGGGGAAGTGGGGACATGAGGCTTGGGTTGGCACAGGGTTTTTCATAACGGAGGTCGGAGGGCTCTTTCATGAGAGCGATTAGGGCTAAAGGCAATAGCTAAGGAGACAGCTTTTCTGAGGGATTTTACTAATAAAACGTAATGAGAGCGACTGTAGGTCCTCGGAGGCCCGTCCTCCCTTTTCTAGAATATACTTCATGAACATCAAGGGCTTACACTGAAGCACCAGATCCAGAAATTTGTCGGCTTTCGGCGTCAAATCGTGTCATTCACTCAACTTCAAATTTATATAGGTCCCACTACATTGCCCGCTTTTTCCAATACCCGAGATGGCATGTTTACGTCTTGGGAGCATTTCTGCTGCCCACCCCATCACGGTAGTCCTTGAGAACTGGCGAGGGTTCTCCAGTATATCCTGACTTCTCCATCCATTCTTGCACACTCTTCACCCGCGACGGCAGGATCTCATCCAGAAGCTCGTAATCACGCTTTGTCAGGTTATCCTTCCACATATTCCAAAAGCCTGAAAAGTTCTCCCGGAAAGTAAACAGGGTAGGATTCTCCCCACTAGTGGAATGACCAACTGTCATTTCGGGATTTGGAAAAATTGGCAGTTTGAAGTATTCGTCCAGAGTTAGGTCTTTATATACCGCCTTTCGGCCAGTCACTTTTGTAAAGGCAGCAGCAAGGTCTTTCCATGCGATATCTTCCGTTGCGACATGCAACTGCATGCCGCTGCTGCGAGATGGCGTATCGAAAACCCATCGGACATAGTGGCCATAGTCCTCGAGATAGATGAGAGGGCATTTTCCGTCTCCCAGCGGGGCTGCAAAGACAAGAGTGCTTGGATCTTCACGGTCAGGAAAGGGTTGGAGAAATTCCGACAGTCCTTCCATGTACATGCAGGAGGTTACAACAGTCCAGGCCATTGGTGTAATTGGTTGAGCTGAAATGTAGTCGGCAACTTTGCCCTTTCCGTCAACGTGGCCGCAACGGTATTTGGGGTCAAAGTTGCTGAGCTTTGAAGCATACTCGAGAGATGCGTAAATGAAGTGCTTCACTCTAGATTCCCGACAAAGTTCATAAATGCGGATGCCCCAGTAGATTTCTGCCATTTCGCCAATGGCAAATCCGTTGGTATTGGCAAAGACGTAATCCACGTCCTTTAGCGCCCCACGAAGTGTTGGCTCATGGTAGGTATTTCCTTCCAAGATTGTCACCCCAGGGATGGTCGCCAATTCGATGGCATCCTTGGAGGAAGCATTTCTTGTAATGACGCGGACGGCATATTTAGAGTCGGATGCCAGTGCTGGGGATACGTTGAGTAAATGTCTCGACAAAGGGTCAAGTTCCTTACTGACCTTTGACAACCGGCACACCCTGAGCACCGGTGCCTCCTATGACCAGAGCGGTTTTCATTGTATTTCAGGGTCGATGTGTTGAAGATTTTCTGATGGAGGAATGGCAAAGTATGAAATTGACAAAGCTAAGCGCTGATGGAGAATTGGTCGCATAAGGGCCCCTATATGTGTACGCATCGAGTGACCAAGGATAATTGCCACGCCGCATGATAGCTCAAACTATAACAGAGCTACCGAGGTTGATGAAGTGATCAAGGCTTCTGTTATGTGTCACCACCGTAGACTCGCCACGGCGTCTCACTATAAGCCACCGGACCTATTTGAAGCTACCTACTCCAACCGCCCAACCAGCGTACCTGGTCACTATGCTGGCAGGTTCACATTTTCAGCACTGCTAGACTTATAGTTATCTGTGGATTTGTGGTCAGCATCTTTCATTATGCGCAGCAATTCTGCCCAAGAGTGCTTTTAACAATACGAAGACATAAGGAGATGACGTTATTTCCGCCACGCAGGAGATCATTAGTGATCAGAATCCTATAATCATCGTGCTAGTTTCTCTACGGGCATTCATTGCCTCTGCCTCTTTCGCAGCCCTATAACCTCATCGTATCACCAGCTCGGGTGGCACAGTTGGCGCGTCCTGCTCGTGAGGCCGAAATCTACGCGACACCAATATTACAACTCAAAGTGGCTATCCGAGGCATCCGAGTCCACTGCCGATTCGAGTTTGCTCGGAGGTCTCGACTGGCGATTGCCATACAACAGCTGTCTGGTGGCCGTGGGCGCCAAAATCAAGCCATCACCAGCATCCTCCAGTCACAATCGAAGCCGACCATGTTGCGCAGCAAGCAACCCAAGTACAGGAAAGGTCCCATTGTTTTCCAAAGCCATGTCAAGTGAACCCCCAAATGATGTCCAATCCGGTCTCGTCTTTCTCTCTGGCCAAGTGGCTGTTGCCATTTGACCTGTTCCACGACAAGGGATGACGTTTTGTTGCCAACCGCCACCAATGCTCGTGGATGGGACAATGCGACAATTAAATGTCGATGATGGCTAACACCTAGATTCGATCTTTGCGAAAGGCTCACAATGCTCCCCTAGGCGGCCGTGCCTCTACTGAGGATCGCTAAACAACATGATGACACTATCCGCCCGATTGATTACCGCGACTGTAAAATGGAACTTTCGGTATACCCTTGAATTCCAAAGAGTACCAACGCCACAAAATTTAGCCAAGGCGATTGCAACAAGTTTGTAATCAATCATTTGCAACGACCAAGATCCTAAACAGGGCAGAGCGGAAGCACCGGCGCCGCCGCCACGGCTATGTCCCGAGATATTTAAGCAGAGTCACTGAACTCCAGATTATACAGCCAGATGTCCATTTCGAAGCGTACTGGATATATCACCATGTCTACTTCAATTAGCACAGTGGCTTGGATCGGGGTAAGACATGTCTCCTATTCACACATTCCACCTGTTTCTAGGATGCTAATCTTCATCTCTGCGATGCAGACTGGGAACAATGGCAAACCACTTCTTGATATTGTGGCTGCCTCGGGAAAGTTCAAAATAACGCTCCTGGTCCGGAAGCCGCCAGCAAAGTACACAGATATTGTCCCCGACTCTGTGACGGTCAAGCAGGTTGATTTCCAATCTCATGCCTCGCTTGTGGACGCTTTCCGAGGTATTGACGCCGTGGTTAGCGTTATGACATTCGGTCCACAGTCAGGCATAGACGTGGTAGAGATAGGAATGATCAACGCGGCGATTGAGGCGGGTGTGAAGTTCTTTATTCCGTCGGAATGGGCGCCTGACTCGGCTGGGGCAAATGTGACGGATGACCCTTGGATAGGGAGGTCGCTACGACCGAATGCGGTTCTGGCTCCGAAAAGAGCAGTACATAATTATCTCATGGCGAGAGCAGCGCAGAACCAAATTGCTTTTGCTGTTGTGTATACCGGCGTCATTATTCCAAGCAGTAGGTTAACATGGATATGCAATTCTTCCTTGAACTTGATATCTCGACTAACTTTTTGGTTACAGGCTTCAGCGTAGGATTGATCTCCTTCGATTTCCAGAAGAAGACGGCAGTCTTACCAGACGACGGCACTTCGCTCTTCTCTGCTACGACGTTGGAAACTACGGGGTCGGCTGTCGTTGCCATACTTTCTACGCCGTTTTCCACAGGTGTTAAGAATCGGTTCCTCCATATTTCAGACTTTACAACATCCCTGTCAGAGATTTTGACCATAATAGAGACTTTGGATGGAGTGTCTTGGACACGGAAGAATGTCGCGGCACGAGAACTTACCATTTCTAGCATGGCTGCTGTGGATGCCGGGACGTTTGGAAGAGCGCAGTTCTGGGGAGCACTGATTAGTCCATTCTTTGGACAGGTTCCCCCATGGCAACAGCAGGATAATGAGCTTCTTGGACTTGGAGAACAGAAAAGTCTGACGGAAGAAGTGGCAAAGGTACTTGAGGCGTCTAGAACCCATGGATAGGTGGTGTGTAAGCTGGGCGTTGCCAAGATGCCTTCATCCATCACAAGGATAGATCTAGGGCATGGGTGTCTATCATGGAATTGCAGTAGCCCTAGTGTAACAAGGTCCAAGATTCTTTTGATGTTGATAAATTCCTTGGAGAAAATCCCATCTCAAGTGCAGGAAGGGAGTATACGGCACGGCTCGATTCGTCCGCGACAATGGAGCCGCGTATTGTTCCGAAAAGTACAGAATACCTTTGTCAATGTAGATCCCCCGGGCGGCTATGCATGTGACTGTTGAGTCCTCCCGCATATGTGATATCCTTTGCAGCATCGCACAAATATGCATGTCTCGGAGGCCGTTGTACACCGGATATTTTGTTGATGCTCGTTGATGCCCAACCCTCCCCCCCAGCCTGCTCCCATGCTCATAGGAGCCCAACGGCCTCTGGATCCTCTGTTGGACATGAGAGGAGTCCATGAGATTGTGTAGCAGTTCCTGGCCTCTACCAGGGCGAGCTCTTGGCCAAGATGCTTCAAAATGACTCCAATTTAGTCACTGCTTGTCCCCTTTAAGTAGTTGACATCCATCTACAGTCAATAGTCAACAATAACATTGAATGAAAAGATTGACTTGTGGCATTATGGCGCCTCAACAGGAAACAGTAAGTTAGATGACTACTCCAAACCAATGCAAGAGAACTCACGGTACTGAAGGGACGGTTGCCGACCCCGTTCAAACGAGAAGGCAGCGAATCCAATATCGAACTCGAGCATCTTCTGAGATTAATGCCAGCATCTCGCCGATCGAAGACAGTTTTCCACTTCAATGACCGAAAAAGCTGCCCCATGGACATTGTCCAACGCCCCAAAGCTGACGTGGAGTTTCTGGCAGAGGAACTGTGTGTCCCAAGTCTGAATGATATCCACGACCTCCTCTGGTTAGCTGGACGTCCCATGCCCCCGCGACCGCTCACCTACCAGCTTACGGCCTCACGAACGATAGCCGTGGTCGAGGACATCAATCTCCATCTTGTATGGGAGCCCGGGCGAATATTCTTGAAACCCATTCCACGATTCCTGCTCAATGCGGCTTTCTGGACCAAACACCTCGCCTGTGATGCGGCCCAGGACAATTCTTCCTGCGTCTCTGGTGTGAGCCGAAGTGCTCCGTCCGATCCTGTAAGCAAACGGAGAGAGCTGTACGGGTGTGCCTATGGCTTTCTTCTGTCGTACACAGCCTTGATCCAGCACGAGAGCGATTACCGCATCGCCGCAAGCAACCACTTGCTGCCAGCGGACGTGGATTGGGAATCGTGGCGTCAGACCTCGTGGGAGCTTTTGGAGAACAGCCCCTGGAACATGACACGGGTCAACAAGCGGTACAGATACGGCGAGCTGCGGCTGTCGCGACTCAACAAAATCTCCCGCTGGCGCAGCCTGACCTGCTCCGGGGACGGGCTGGTAGGGCTGATGCGCGGGTACAAATTCGGCTTCGCCACGTACGGCCAGCTACTCGAAGCATGTCTTTTCCCAGTCGTCACGGCTACGGCCTATATTTTGTTAGTTTTGACAGCCATGCAAGTCGGGCTTTCGACGGACTATTTGAAAGACAATTTTGCGTTTCAGCAAGCGTCGTGGGGATTTACGGTGTTTTCTATCCTGGCGCCGCTTATACTGATTGTACTGAGCTTTGTGCTTGTCTTCCTATATGTCGTTTTCAACTACCGGAGTACGAAGGCGTTTAACCAGAGGAGGATGCAGTTTTACGACAATCTGGGCCGGAATGGATGTTAAAAGCGGGATATGAGATTCATTTTTAGTCAGGATTCTCCTTGGTTAAAATTCCTAATTCTTGTTGGTGATGGTTCAAGACTATGATTGCCACAAAAAGAACACGGTCTACTTGGGCCGCCATTAAGACGCCTTAAATTCTGTTGACAGCGATCAACTGCGGCCCTGCTTGCCTGATAGTGCGGCTGAGCATCTTGGGGCGTTGCAGTTCATCTGCTAATTGAGTAAGGGCTATGGTATTATTACGTCCAATACAATGAATGGTCACCTTCACTACTTGCTGAAATAATCTCTGATCTTTATTGGCCTCGTGTGGCATCACCTTTGGGCGGAGTGGATGACCTCCATGTCCAGCTTCCTCTCCTCGGCGAATAAGAAACCCCCGTCTTCCTGCAAGCACAGGGTACGCGACTGAGATAACGCGGCTGAGGGTTGGTGACACAATTGGGTGCGTTGTTGAGGCCAGATGCAGTCGTCGAATGTGCTAGAGTTGATTGGGCGGCTAGATGATGCTGTCGGGGGCGATTGGATGTTCTGGGTTCTGCGGAGTGATGTGTCAAGCTCTCTATGCGAGGCAACGTCTCATCAACAGCCTGCTCCTTTAATTTGGTGAAACACGGCTGAGAATCGTTGGTCGGCAGAGTGAGTGAGGATGAAGCGCCGCTGTGCATCGAGTCGAGACGGTGGCCATGAGGGTCGCACAGCCAAGTCTTCGCATCAATATTGATTCACATCTGCTCCCCGCCCAAGTCTTCCCAAGCATATTTCCTTTTCTTATTTGTTCACCCAGCAAAAAACCATACGTTCCTCGCGGCCTTTATCGATGTGTTTGTGCGAGTTGGTCATCGCTGTGAATCACGTGGCCTGGACAAGTTGACATTTGAACCATGGACCGGCTCAGGAGTCGCCGAGATGCACGTGCTCTGGCCACTCTGCCTGGCCAAAGTCGGGGTCATGCTTCGCATGAACGCATCCAAGACACGAAACTAAACCCAGCGCGAGAGCACACCACAGGCGTCACACTGACCCAGATCCATCCTCTCCCTGGCGTGGACGTCGAAACCGATATCGACATCATTGCAATCCATGGCCTCGATACGGGGTCGCCAGGTACATGGACTTGGAAGTTCAACAGACCGGACCGCCATGATGTGAACTGGCTGGCCGACAAAGACATGCTCCCGAGCAGAGTCGGACAAGCTCGCATCTTGACATGCGACTGGCCAGCTGAGCTGTTTGAGCGGTCCGACCTTATCCAAAAGAGAATCGAGGAGTTGGCTCGGCTGTTGCTAGATGGCATTCGAAGACGGCCCTCGGCAACGAACACCTCGTCAAAAAGGGGCGGCCGGCCCATCGTATTTATCGCGTCATGCCTTGGCGGCATCATTCTAATGAAGGCCCTCGTCATGGCCCAATACGAATCCTGTTCCATCGGGGGTTCCTCCGGGAGTGACACTCACGCTATAATTTTTCTTGCGACGCCCTTCAGAGGCACTTCGTTCCAAGATGTTGCCAACTGGGCCGAGCCTGGTCTGAAGGCCTGGGCTTGGATCAGAGGTCAAAAAGTGACCCGGAGGCTCGATGATGTGAAAGGACCGACCTTCGATTTAGTCAAACTCGTAGGCGACTTCACTCGCCTGTGTCGAGAGGATAGTCTCGACCGAGTAATGACGTTTTACGAATTAGGCAACACGAATCTCTACCATAAAGTATTTCCATGCCTTTTAGTCGGGTCAAAGCGGGTAAGCGTGGCCGAATTGTCTCTCTGTTCTGAGACGCCCTTCTCCCTGATTCCCACAACACTCAAATGCGAGTTGAACATTACTGACACACACTCGCCAGCTGGTCGATGAGTCCTCCGCAATCCTTGACATTGTTCCCAACCCTTTGCCTCTTGATCGTCCTCACCTAACGATGAATAAGTTCCATGGAACAGACGACCCAGAGTATCAAAAAGTCGCGGGGAAACTTGAGGAATTTCTTCATGGGATTCGCGAGGGGACGGTGCTCAACATAGCGGATGCCTGGATCCGAAACCAATGCTACGCTGCGGACAGGCTTCAGATTCGCCGACTTTCAGAGGAAGAGTTGCCGATGGAGCAGTGCTACATCAACCTCGCCATCATCGAGCAGCAGTGTGGTCGAGTCTCTAGCGGCTCGGGATATGGGTCAAATGGAGCATATTCGACGAGCCAGTCCTACCCGTTTTCGATGATCAGTCGTCAGAAGGTTCAGACGCCAGACAAGTCGATCCAGGTTGAGTTGAAGACATTATTCGACCAACGCGGAAGAGGCGATCATGGTGTGATAAAACCCCGACGAATACTAATTAGAGGACGTGCGGGAGTTGGAAAGACTACCTTGTGCAAAAAGATGGTCTATGACTTTATTCAACAAACGTCGTTGCACGACTTATGGACGCAGTGGTTCGACCGCTTGCTCTGGGTGCCTTTACGAAATCTACAAAGGCGGCCGGGTCAGGGATACAACCTAAGTCTTTTGTTTCGCGACGAATATTTCCGTCATCACCTAGGCATGGGCGGTCTTACTCGGGAGGATCTTGCTGCAGAGCTGAGCCGAAAAGTGGATGATTCTAAGAGTGAGAGAACTCTATTTGTCCTTGATGGCTTGGATGAAGTATCTCAGCTCCTGGCCTCCAGCAACGAGATGTCCGATTTTCTCAAGATGCTTTTGAATAAGCCTAACGTCATCGTTACATCCCGACCCAACGCGAGTCTTCCAGCTATTAGGACCTTTGATCTCGAATTAGAAACAATCGGATTTTACCCCGACCAAGTGAGAGAGTATATCGAGAAATCATTTGTCGACCCAGATACAAAGACTACAGACCTAAATAAGCTCAAAAGCTTTCAGTCTTTCCTTCAAAACCATCAGCTTATCCAAGATCTTGTGCGCATCCCAATTTTACTAGATGCGCTTTGTTACACCTGGAACGACCACAAACCCGGAAATATACCTGATACTATGACTGGTATTTATAGATTGATTGAGCTAAAATTATGGAAGAAGGATATCTTGCGATTAGAGAAACGACACGACGGCGCTCAGTTATTCAGCTTCAACTTGGAGACGGCGCCCAGACCAACTATTAAAAGTTTCGTTAAGGAAGAGATGGATTTCCTTGAGAGCCTTGCTTTTACTGGATTATATGATAATACAGTAGACTTTTCGTTGGAACAAATACATGGCATATCGCATTACTTCACCCCGGGTTTATTACCTGACAAGACCTTGCCATCCCTCTCCTTCCTACGAACGTCCGAAGCCTCATCAGATTATCGCAATCAAAATTACCACTTTATACATCAAACTTATCAAGAATACTTTGCAGCACGATATTTTGTGCGCCAGTGGAGCAATCCGGAGGGACGCCTTGTGCTTTTTGCACAAAATGGTGGAGAGCGCGAGATGAAGCTGAGCAAGCCCGTCGAATTTCTTCAGGAACATAAATATGCAGCGGGCTATAACATTTTTTGGCGCTTTGTTGCTGGCTTACTCGATGCCGAAAGTGGAGTTAAAGAGACGCTGCGCTTCTTCCGGACGATCGAACAGGAGCCGTTCGACCTTTTGGGTCCTACGCACCAACGACTGGTTATGCATTGCTTGAGCGAAGTATCAAATGAGCTACAGATTAGAAAGGACTTATTGGCAAGACTAACGCAGTGGTTTCTGTTCGAAGTCTACCTGACAAATCTCTACGCTAGACCAACTTTACTACAAGAACCAGAGTGTCCAGACGAAGCCATACTTGCAGCCTTGGAACTCGTTTCCGACAGCGGAAGGGAAAATATTCTGCGCGCAGTACATAAATACCTGCCGCATACGACTATCACAGCCCTAATAGCGCTGCTCAAGGATGAGCACGAGACCCGATTCCCGGCAGCTGCAGTCTTGAAGGACCAATCCAATCTATCAGACCAAGCTATCGTGAGCCTGCTAGCGCTTCTCGAGCACGAAAAAGAGGAGGTTCAATTTGCCGCAGCTGAGGTCTTGAGGATCCAGTCTGATCTATCAGACACAGCTATCGCAAGCCTATCAGCGCTGCTTGAGCACGAACAAGACACGACTCGAACCGCGGCAGCTGAAGCCTTAAGGAGCCAATCCCATCTATCAGACACAGCTATCGTAAGCCTATTAGCGCTGCTTGAGCACGGGCAAGACACGACTCAAACTGCGGCAGCTGAGGTCTTAAAGAGCCAATCCCATCTATCAGACATAACTATCGCAAGCCTATTGGCGCTGCTTGAGCACAAGAAAGACACGACTCGGTCCGCGGCAGCTAAAACCTTAAAGAGCCAATGGAAACTATCAGACGCAGCTATCGGAAGCCTATCAGCGCTGCTTGAGCACGAAGAGGAGAACGTCCGATTCGCGGCAGCTAAAGCCTTGCCTCGGAGGGCTCCAGCTACTATGATTATAAGCCTAATAGTGCGGCTTAGGCATAAAGAGCAGCGGGTCCGATCTGTGGCAGCTAAAGCCTTAGGCACATGCACCCAGCGTCGTTACTTAAAGACAGTCGTCGAGCCCCTCGAAACTCTGCTCCAATCCCAAGATTATAATGATAAAATGGCTGCAGTCGAAGCCCTTCACCTCTCGTATGGTCTATCAGACGCGACTATCGTAAGCCTCATAGCGCTGCTCAAGGACGAATCGTTACCAGCCCAATCCGTGGCAGCTAAAGCCTTAAAGAGCCAATCCCATCTATCAGACACAGCTATCGTAAGCCTATTAGCGCTTCTCGAGCACGAACGGGAGGAGATTCGCTCCGTGGCGGTTGAAGTCTTGTCTCGGCAGGCTCTACCAGACGCGGCTATCAAGACCCTCACAGTACTGCTACAATCTAATGATGGTGTTCTTCGAGCTGCCGCAGCTAAAATCTTGACCTCCCAAAAAGACTTACCAGACGCGGTTATCGAGTCTCTCTTAATGCTGCTCCAATCTGAGAATTATGGTGCTAAAACTGACATAGTCCGTGCCTGGTGCTTCCGGGCCTCGCGCCTCCAGCGGAACATACCACATGTGGAGAATCTCATGAAAGCCCAGTTTCGGAAATTTGATCCCTGGACTACCGCTGTCATTCTCACAGCTTGGAATAGCCAGCCAAATTTGTCAAACGCCGCTATCGAGTCTCTCATAGCGCTTTTTCAAGCAAGGAAGCGGGATGACCAGGCTTGGTTAGCTGAATACATGGGCTTGTGTCCGAACTTGATGGACAAGATGCTCAAGACGATACTCAAGACTCTGGGCTTATTGTTGGAGACCGAACTACCAGCTGAGCCCATAAACAGCATCTTTCGCAACTCCCAATTTCTAAAATTGGTATACGGCATTCTACTATATGAGAGTTTTCGAAGCCATAATAGTTTGTATGTTCAAAGTGATGGCGGCAGTAGCCGCTGCATTTTCAATCAACCTGCTGGACGCCGAATAGCGTCTTTTGAAGAAAGCAGCGTGGCCGACGAGTTTCACAAGTTACTTAGCGATTGTCAGAAATATTGGAATGAACATGGCTTCAAGCTATGGGACAGGTTCGGGGTTGATGCTAGCCAATAACTGCTCTCCATACTAGGAGAATAAATGTTCGGCGTCATCTCTGCATAAGTGGCAAGTGAGTTAGGTGTGACAAGGGCTCGGAAAGAGGGTTTGGAGCAATAGCTCAATTCAACTAATAACAGTCTTTGGTATCAACGGTCCTTAGTTTTCCTTAAGGCCTTGAGGGACCGACGACGTCTATTTATACAAGAAGGCGGTGAGGGCCTTCTGCCCTAGGTCTCGTGACCGTAGCCCTTGTGTAACCAGCCATTTCCGTGTAACATTGGGTTAGAACTGGGAGAATGATTGTCTGACTGGTCTTGCAGACACAATAGGCAAGGCAAACTCTGCTATATGTTCTTGTCATATCTACCTTTAATCTCTGCATTTTGTGAAGGTCATAGGGGTACAGGTTGGTTTATATGTTGAATTTGGATTATACGTGTGATCACTGGTGACCATGGCACTATCTTGTCAACTCAGTGCCTGGCGAGTGACAACTATTGGCCTAATTTGATGGATGACTATGTTGACAAATGACTGGGCTGGTGGTTTTAGTCAGGGGAAGGATTGCAGTGGTGAGGTTTCGTTCTCAGTCGCTCTTTGAAAAACGTTCCACCCCTTTAAGTGTCGTACTTTAAAGATGCTTGTAGGATGTTTGTCCCATTTTTCTGGACGTCACTGATCCCTTTGCTAGTTGCACTATCCGTTCTCAAGCCAATCAATAAGTTTAAAGTCATGTCACACTGGAAGTTATGAAGATGGTTCCCTCAAAGTGCTGTGAGATCACGGTTTACTTGTATAAGAAGACATGTGAACTTGGGGTTGTAATCCTTGATGAATGCCCATGTCTTCGCTCTTCAAGTAACTGTTTTTATTCTAAGTCCTGCTGAACAAAAATAAAAAAGCGTATCTGGCGTAGAATCAACAATCTGGTCCACCTTTTGGCCCTGCTGGGGACGTATAAAGGCCGGTTAGGCTTAAATTAAGCTTATTTGTAAAGGTCATTTAAGTCTTTGGCGTTAATCTTTGTAAAACATATACCACGACACTTTTGAGTTTTGGAGTATCTTGACATTGTTGTCCTTACATATGTAGCCAGAATCTCACCAGTTAATTGTCCGTGTCGATACTTGATGCCAGAAAAATGCCAGGTTACTTGGAATAGTCAGAACCAGAACCTTGCAAGGCGCGCACTTGGGGGCGTAAAAGCCGCCTACGATATTGAAGGTTTCTGTATGGTGATGACAAAATCATATTGTTTATTTGAAAATTCCTATCAAACCTTTGGCGTCTATAAAAGATCAAGTTGGTAGAGTTGAAAACTTGCGTGTAGTAATCTGTAACTGTCACGGCTACATAAAAACTCTACACGGCAAAGGTGCGTAAGGGTGTGTGTAAATTGAAATGCCATTCTAAACTTCAGCGGTTCACGTTACTTGTTGCAAACGTCTGGCGCTATTGACTAATAGAATAAAAAAATGGCACAGCCTGGACGTATTGTTCTGTGCGGTGCTAACCTATCGCATCTATCCTGCGAGTATGGCTATTGTGGAAGGAAACGCCATCCGAGAATAGCTCCAGACTCCATTCAAAACTTTCAAAACTTGATCGACAGTCTCGGGTAGCGAATCTTCTTTACATCTAGATTCTTCCATATGGCTTGCAAGTTGCTCGTGCCTCAATCAAGGTTTGATGAGACCGATTCTCTGAGATGAACATCTTCAAAGATGGCCTTCTCTCATACTGTGCCAACAATCTCAACATAACTCAAGCTGCAATGCTCCATCCGGGCATTTCCATCTTCAGAGTCTTCTCGAGATAATGGCTCTCAAGAATTATTGTTTGTCCTTTAATTTATCACAGTGCGAGTACTAGACAGCCCGAATGACGCAGGGTGGTGTGAACTGCATTGTGTCTGGGTACGTCGCAAACCCTTTGCCTTGAGCAGAGCAGACATCTGTACGGCATTGGGTGATAGCATGGTGTAATATTGTGGCACGGTCCATCATTTTACACTGTCGACATAGAGGCATCGTGCCGAGAAAGAGTCTGGTTAGCACAACGGAGAGATGGTTAGGCCCAACAATTTTGATTGCTAAGCTCTGAACTGTCCCAAACTATCCAATCACCAAGTAAATGCAACATTTATTCACAAAGAAGCGTCAGTGCCGTACAGGACTGCCAAGTACTACTGGCCTCACGCCTGCGTCAAGAGAGTAAGGGGCATCTTGCTGCCTGAGCGGCTGACAAAAGCTGCCAACGACCAACAACCATTCTGGGGCGCTGCTTGATGGATGCTTTATGACCAGTATTTTTGTGATTGTACATTTGACAAGGCACCAGTGGGATTGCACTACCACAAATGGGCGGCCTTCGCAAGCAGACCAGGCTTCTACTGTTCGTCATTATCCTTGCGGCCTGCCCTTGCCCTACGCTTGACGTGCGCCCGCACAGGCAACAAAACTGCGCTCCTGTTGCAAATGTAACCGTAACAATGGCTCTGTCGAATAACTCAAAAGTTCGGGCGAAGACGGTCAGATCAACCGAAAGAGCCCACCCCCCCCAAATAGGTTACAATCAGATGGTGTACTCAGCAGTGGGAAAAGCCATAAAAAGCATATAAATATCAAGTATACGTGGGACTTCCCCAATCGATCGATATTATTGACAGTGCCCCCTCTCCAACACTGCGAGTGAGTAGTAAAGCAACTCCATTGCCACTGCCAGCCATCTTGTTGAATCTATGCTCCTTCGGCACAAGCCATGCACGCGCCAGCAGTTGTCTCGCGCGTTATTTTGCGATGGCTAGCAGAGTTCTTGTACTCGCACTCAAAATAGTCAGTGTAGTAGCTACCATGACCGCAGGAGTAGGCGTAGTGCTACCGGTAGCACATCTCTACAACCGACTGTCAGTCAAGTTCCGTAAGCCGCAAGTACTAACCCTGATATGGATGTATATGAAACGGCAGTCCTACTGAGGAGCTATTGCTATTGTGATCTTGTAACGAATCTGTAAAGTGAAATGGTGAAATGCAGCTGTAATTCTGTCGAGGTTGGTGCTGGATAGCAGCAATCATCAACGGGAAAAACTGTCTTTAAGTAGCTTCGTCCTGTATAGAGGAGACACAGCTAATTGGTTTGGCATGATTTCATCAATATTGCTATCAATAAATGGCAAGCGGCAGCTGTTGGCTATACTCACACATTTGAAGCTGTGTTGGTTGCTCGAGCTTGTCGATACCGCAACGTCCAATACACGCTCGAGTTTTCAACTTCTGCCTACTGTCCCATCCGCCACAAACATAAAAACAGTCTTACCAAGGCTGCTTTACATTCTGTGATAGGTTGAATCTCAGAAAAGTCAATGCGAGTAGACAGTATCGGGGCCGAGGCCGTAAAGTGATAGTTGCGTGACCTCTGCCTCATGCAATGAACCTATCGATGACAAGTGGCAGAACCCCGGCGTTTAACAGTAGATTTGGGAACTTTCAATCTCTAGGACTCTCTCCCCCGCGAATGATGTAGCTCGCTGAATCCTCATGGCATGGAAGTCGGATGGAGAGCGGAGGACTTTAGTGACGAGTTGTTAGCTTAATGGATCACCGATAAAATACTCGACTCTACAAACTAGTCTTGGCGTCACTTGAAACGATATGGATGCCGATTTTATTTCGACTGGAGGAAAGTCCTTAGCATTGAGGGTCAAGTTCGATAAAGTTGGTTTAAAACCTGAAGCCCTACTCTTTCTCTTACACTGGTTGGCGTGAAGACCTAGCCTTACATGCCTCTGTATATGAACTTTACTGATAATAGTAAACTTAAAAAAAACAATTTGGCCTTTTATGGTACGTTAACACCACGTGGTCTGCTTGTTGCAACTGGTTCACAACATGCCGTGTCTACCTGTTTGGAGCATTTGCCATGTCCCTCTGGGAGTTTCCTTGCCTATGATCAAGCCAATCGTACATGTAGCTTTGTGGACCCAGCTTGGTATGTTCGTGCGTCTGTCGTCTTCTGTCACACGGTCAGTCCACCAACAACTTTTGTTGGTGTGCTAGAGAGCTAACAACCTGGAAGACCTGGAAGATGCCACGTCAGTTGGGCCAACAACGGTTATGCAGAGCATCACGCGGCCAAGCTGGAACATTGACGCTTGGGCCCTCAACTGCCCTCGACTTCTTGCATAAACAAAGTCCTGTAACATCAAGGGCATTTGATGACCCAAAGCAGATTGCTAGATTGAATATGAAGACAGTTGTATATATTTATAATACTTTCTTACTATTGGTTCGTGATTACTTTAGGGTGGTATTATGTACTCGTGGATTTTTTTCTAAGCGTTTCGCGTTAGTTTTTGCTATTGATATGCTTACGATTCAGTCGTAGATTTTCCTCCACCCTGGCTGATATTAACGTTCATGGCGTTAGGCTTCCCGCCCAACCATGGAAAATGACCAATAGACTTGGCAAACTATTTATAGAGCAACAAAGACCTCTCTTTAGATCCCCAAAAGCCACTCCCTGCCTCCCTTTGGAAGATTATAAGCCATCTCTAAGAATTTGAACGGCGCGTCTCTAAATTAACTTTATAGACGTTCTATGAAGCTATTATCGAGACATTTTCAAGACGAAGACCGTCAAAGGTTGTCGTTATCAAATAGTATTGACCAGACTTGACATGAGGTGGCACCTGCCAAGTTGCCAACTGCACTGCCAAAAGTGGAGGCGCCAGACCTCTCGTTGGTACCAGGTCTCTCTCCATCTCTTTCCATGCATCACAGTGCATTTCTGAATTGCATCTGCGTCATCTACGTAAAGAAGTTGGCCCGTGTTCGCGTCAAAATGCTTACATAATCACATGGGCAATGTCCTCCCCGAACCAACTCCCCTATCAACCCAAAGTAGCACCCAACATGAACCACAACGACACCCAAAGTGCCACGGCCAGCTTTACCATTGACGGCATCGCCTCTCCACCTTTTCCCACTCAAACATCCTCGCATCATCAATGTCCTGGAAGCTGACCAAGAGTAAGTTGCGCTAGCATGGCCTGGTGAACGCCCGGCCGCATGCCCCTTAACCATCACGCAATCATTGTCTGTTGCACAGCCCGATTCCGCTAATGGCTCACCTTGTAGAACTGAAGGAGACACACCTGGGCTCCTTGGCAGGTTTCACGAGATCTACATCAACCGCTTCCATCTTGGACGCTAATAAGGACAGCAGCCATGGGCCTTCTACTCGTGATGAAGGACCAACAACCAGCTCCATCCCCTCTGGTATGTTTTTGTTGGCCTCGTGTCAAGCTCCAACTCGCTGACCACCCGTTACAGTTGCCGTGGAAAGTCCCAGCCAGGCTCCTGTGGTTAAGACGCCGAAACAGGGCATTCTAGTCGTCACCATGCATGAGGCCTGTGGGTTATCCCTGCCTCAACAGCACCAAAATACGTACTCATCGCAGTACCACACAACGTCCCGCTCGACAGGCAATGCAATGAGCAATACCGGCTCGACGGAATCGACGTCATCTCGTACTTCGGCTCCATTCACGACCAAATCACATCGGCCTCAGACCTCGCTTGGCCGTGGACTTCGAGGGATCCCAACTATCCACGGCCGAGTATCTACCAAGTACATGCCGTATGCTCTGGTCGATTTCGACAAGGTCCAAGTCTTCATCAACTCTATTGAAGGGACGCCAGAGAATCCCACATGGGCCGGCTCCAGCACCCAGTACAAGTTTGATGTGTCCAGAGTTTCAGAGCTTACAGTACATCTCTTCATCCGCAACCCTGCTGCTGTGCCCGGCTCAGGTCGGTCGCAGGATATTTTCCTGGGCGTTGTTCGACTTACCCCGCGATTCCACGCCAATGAATCTTCCAAAGATGCCACATCTGGCAAAAATAGCGAAACGGCTCAAGGATTTCATGGCGTTGGGTGGTTCAATCTAGCGCATGGAACCGGGAAGCTTCAGATTGGCGTCAAGTTTGTGGAGAACCAAGCCAACAAGCTCAGCATTGACGAGTTTGAGTTATTAAAAGTGGTTGGAAAAGGCAGTTTCGGAAAAGTTATGCAAGTAAGGAAAAGGGATACGAACCGCATCTACGCCCTAAAAACGATACGCAAGGCCAAAATCATCTCCCGCTCCGAGGTGACCCATACGCTCGCCGAACGATCCGTTCTTGCTCAAATCAACAATCCCTTTATCGTCCCTTTAAAGTTTACTTTCCAGTCCCCAGAAAAGCTTTACTTTGTTTTAGCTTTTGTGAATGGAGGAGAATTATTTCATCACCTTACAAATGAACGAAGATTTGACGTAAATCGCGCCCGGTTTTATACAGCTGAACTGTCGTGCGCTCTCGAGTGTCTTCATGGCTTCAATGTCATCTATCGAGATTTAAAGCCAGAGAATATCCTCCTCGACTATCAAGGTCACATCGCACTTTGCGATTTTGGCCTGTGTAAGCTCGAGATGAAAGATGAAGACCGCACCAATACATTCTGCGGCACGCCTGAATATCTCGCACCTGAACTATTACTCGGCCAGGGCTATAATAAGACTGTGGATTGGTGGACGCTTGGCGTGTTGTTGTATGAAATGCTAACTGGCTTACCGCCGTTTTACAACGAAGAGACCAACGAAATGTATCGAAAGATCTTGTCGGAGCCCCTGAGCTTTCCAGGGAACGACGTGGTACCACCAGCAGCCAAGGATCTCTTGACGAAGCTACTGAATCGAAACCCGGCGGAACGCCTTGGGGCGAATGGCTCGGCGGAAATAAAGGGACATGCCTTCTTCCACGCTATTGATTGGAGAAAACTGCTGGAACGAAAATATGAACCGACGTTTAAGCCCAATGTGGTATGTTGTTCCTCACCTCCTCTTGTTCGATGCTGCGTGACTGACGAGCTTGGCTGAATTATGTAGGCTAATGCCCTTGATACTACCAACTTCGACCCCGAGTTTACAACTGAAGCACCTCAAGATTCCGTCGTTGAGGATCCTGCCCTTTCCCAGGCTATGCAGGATCAGTTTGCTGGCTTTAGTTATAATCGCCCTGTCGCCGGACTAAACGACGTAGGGGGGAGCATCACAGGCCCGTCGTTTATGAATGGCTCTGAAAGTCAACGATGAGTAGCGGTGGTGCCTGTGAATGTTGGCAAAAGAAGGAATGAGAGGCTCGTGGTGGGTTGGGAGAAGTTGCAGAGCTCAATTGTTGCGCAAGGGCGGCCAGAGTGTTTTGGGATGCACTATGGTGTTTGAATGCAACGTTGTACAATCTATCCACACCGAAATCTCAATTCAGTAACGCCTATATGGATCTCGGAATTCAGATCATAAGCATAGCTGCAGGAATGGTCCTTGTTTATGACGGCATCCCAAAAATTTGTTGGGCAACGGCCCACACACCAGGCGAGGACGATAAATATCTACAATGACATGCCCAGCCGTCATCATAAGATGCCAAAGTTCACGCGCTGCCATCCAATGCCATTTGTAGGCTCGAAAACTCCGATGTCACTTGCAAGACGAGTGGGACTAACTGCGGCTATTTAGATGTCCCCTTTTTGGTCCTGCCGGGGCTCAATACGTCAACCTAGGTAGCACTGAGCGAGGCACATGGTCCTGCTGACATGCGAGGAAATGACTTTTCGGGCAGGCCGCAGCAATATTGACGTTGGCTGACTGAGCAAGGAATTCTCGATGCAGGCTGCGGCCCACGTCACACGCCAAGCCTTGATGACCACGAACATATTTCTCACCCAATTTTTCAGCTCCTTCTTAGGCCACGACTTTGCTCCCACCACCGCTCAAGACACCGTCAACACCCCTCCCTCCAGTCGTCTCCCATGGATATCCATCAAGATACAGAGCAAACGCCACTACTTCGAGAAGGAGCCGACGTACATGGCACAACACAGGACGCCGTTCGCAATTCCCCGCCGTCGCGTCTAGCCGTCGCCCTTTCATGTCTCCTCCTGCTCGCATTAGTTAATATCGGCAATACACTCATCAGCAGTCCCATCGAACAAATACGATGGGAAACCTTTTGTTACAATCCCAACACGACCAGCATCCCCAGCGTTGCGGCCAATCCATCTTGCGCCAAAAAGGACTATGCCCTGCTGCAAAGCTGGAAAGCTGCTATCGAAATCGTCATGATTGTCCTTACAGCTGCTCCGTTTGGCATGGCAGCCGATGCGTACGGCCGCAAACGAATCCTTCAGCTATCTGTTGCAGGCATTACTTCAGCGCAGGCATTCGACATTGTCATCGGTACGAAAAGCCATACAACGCGACATGTGGAAACGGTGCAAATGGACTGATGCTGTGGCGTAGGTCGCTTCCCCGAAACGTTTCCCGTCCATCTGATGGTATGGAAAGGATTTTGGGCCATGATCGGCGGCGGCGGCACTGTATTTTCAGCCATGATATTCACAATCTTTAGTGATATAAGCACAGAGGCACAAAGGTAAGGGGATGTCACTTTGTTCTCGAGCCTTTAGCTAACATGCTCCGCTGGTCAACCACCTTCTTTTATGTCACCGCTGCAGCAATATCGATTCAACTACTGTCTTACCAGCTACTCGTCAAACTCATGTACCCGGATAACTGGATTTGCGTATACGCCGGACTGGGCTGCTTGATTCTATCCTTGTTGACCACGCTCCTTTTGCCCGAGACCCGTGTATCAGTCCCCGAGCGCTGCAGCCAACTGCTACCACCTCAGAGATCCATTCGTTCGTGTAGCAAGTACCAGAGACTTAGAGACTTTTTCAAATCGACCGTCGTACTAGCCCGTCGTTCTTTCTATGAGAACAAAAAGCTAGGTTTGCTTCTGTTGTTTTGCGTATTCACAACTACTGCTAGCAACGTGCCGTTGATGCTGGCCCAGCAGTTCTCAGGGCGACCTGACGCCCTAGACTTGGCGGTGAGTTTGAAACTTTGTCCAATGTGCATGTAGAGCCTTTGATTTACCAACACCCTAGGTGCAGATTTATCTGTCCATGATGTGGTCGAATATTCTAAAGGTCGTGGTATTGACGATAATACTGCCCTTGGCTAGTTACTTGCTTGCCAAGAAACTCGGACTTAATCCGGTGAGAAAGGACGTTTACATCTCGGCCGTGAGCATTGTAGCGCTTGTCGTTGGATCGTTGGGCATTATAGTTGCAAAAGCGACCGGGTCAGCCCTCGTGGTTGCAAGCATCTACATCTATGCCCTTGGATGTGGATATGGCCCGGCCATGCATAGCCTCCTGGGCCTGCTATCGGGTGGTTGTCACATTGGCATGTTGTATGCTATTATTAGGGCTATGCAAAGCGTGGGGAACTTCATGGGGGGGTTATTTTTTGGGGTCTCGTTTGAAATGGCGCCTTTTCTTTTTACAGCCTTGTTCCTGGTGCTTGGTGCGGGTGCCTTGTTTTTGATTCAGTTGGAAGATGCCCAGCAGAGGCAGCCAATTTGGATTAACCTCGATGACCTTGCGGTACACAATGCGTCACCATGAAAAATCAAGATTGATTTTCTTTATTTATAGTTGGCTTAAGAGACGTGAGGTTTCTTGGCGCGTGTTATATGATATCAAAGAACTTATGTTTAAAGGGGTCAAGCGGACTTTGTTTCAGTTTGTGAGGGAACGCATAGGATGGCATGAGATGGCATAATCATACTATACTTTTTTTCAACGTTTTGGAATTTCATCAAGAACCTTGTCATCCGCTCACACTAAATATTGGAAGTTTACAAGCTGAGTCTAACCTCCCAGGGGGAGTTCAATATCCTCCGATTTGAAATCTGCCACGTCTTGGCAACAAGCCCCAGGAACTCGCGAGAATCAAGGCAGACCTAAATTAAACTGAAAATATTGGTGCCTAATTCTGCTGGCGACAGAAGTGAATTGGCATCACGACTTCCCGAACAACGCTCCAGCCAGCGGAGGGTCATTCCGGTCGCTACAATGTCGCATTTACCGCCTTGAACTGCTATTCTGAGCGCCATGAGTGTATGTCCGGTCAACGACGTCATGGCTCTGGTAGGTTCTAGAGACACAATGGATTTTGACGGAACAGGCACGGTGGCGTTTGCGTGGCCACATGACTTGTGTCTCTGGTCCAAGCCCCTGCCGCAAGAATCTCGGAACTTGACCTCCTCACTATTACACGGGCACAGGTACCTCTTACACCTGTAATCTCAACTATCGTGTTTGAAAATTAAAGGACTTCTCCCTTTATATGGGGATTATACTTCTTTGCTGCCGGCTATCAGACTCTCTGAGCCACCATGGTATGTTGTTCCCGCTGGGTGAGGGCCCGAAATCGCGGGCAATGTATGCTCGACAATAAAAAAGACTTGTGGCCCAGGTTCCTGATTGCCAAGAGGCCAACGCCCGGAATATTTCACCATGGCCATGTATAGACTCATGCTGAACAAAGGGAGTTGCATCGCCTCCGCCACCGGCAGGCCTTGCCACGTGCACACAAGACCTCATGTCCGAGCTGCATAGTATGCTACTATGGAGTACCTTTAAATATGGCGTCAATCCTGACATCGAGAGGATCCAGTCTAATTAATGACAACTCTGCATGGGTCATCCGTGGGTGGCCTATACTGGCCCGTGTCCGAAATCTCCCCGGATTCTCTGCAGCCTCTTGTTTCACACCTATGTATCCGATGGTCATTGGCAAACTCTTATCGTATTGCTGGCCAAAATATGGCGTAATCATTTGACACAACCCCAGTCCACCCCAGGCTATCAAGTGGGGCTGACATTCGATCTGTTTGGCTTTCTTGCACGAGATTCGTCGATCTTCGATCGATATTGTGGCGAGGCAATCTCAGGGGTTTGATCACGAGGCGCTTTCTTCTGAAAGCCCCGAGATTAAGCCATGACACTGTCCTGCCTCTGCTATTTGTCAATGTATTTTGAGGGTTAGGAACAGCCGACCGGAACAAGACTAGAGAGGTGGAAAGATGAGCCCATCAGCCACTTTCTTTTTAAATAGGTCGCGCCCACTTGCTAGTTAGATATGCCGTAATTCGACCGTAGCCACCAGGGCCGCCATGAGATTTGCTCCCTTGGAGTTGTAGTCTTGTAGTCAAGGTGGCAAAGTGGGGGAGGAAGAGTGAAGCACAGGCTAGTCGTGACAAGTCCTTGGAGACAAGCATATGACTCGCTCGCAATCAAAGTGAATGAGAAACGGGGCAGCCTTAGTAGTATGAGAGCACGATCCAAGGAGTGGTCCAAGAGTGCTGGGATGTAGCTTCGTTTGCAGACTAGCTGGCAGGATTCAACGGATATGCTCGAAGTTCCTTTGGTAGTAACAACATCCTTGCGTTGTTAGGTGTCATTCTGGGAACATGGATCCGAGCCCAAGTACAATTGCCATGACTTAACTTAGAACCTGTGGCTGAAGAATATTGTGAGAAGATAAAAGAACAAAGCTTGTTGCCAAAGAAAGATATGAAGAAGTGGCCATCAGATTCTAGTCTCAGCTATCAATGGCAGAATTGTGTAAGCATACAACCAGAAATGAAGCGCGTGTTGTGTTATGTTGGCTACAATGTGCATCTACACTTTAGGTTCCCATAAGATTACAACAACCCGGAATGTCCTAGCGTCTCTCTATTCCATAGATGACTCCCTCGACAAGGCGCAGCCACATTGCCTGACAGACCCGGCAGTGGCTGCGTTATCCAGCGTGAAAAGGACCGATTCGCATTTCCAGGGGCATCCTAATATAGAACACGAACCCGGCCACGTGGCTGTAGGGCGATGACGCAAGATTTGTTGATAACCTCCCGCAATCGCCTCGAGCTATGCGGGGGTGGCAGCGCTCGCCGGCCATGAGACCTGGGGAAGACCTGGGGAAGTCCACTTGCAGAAAGCCTCAAAGAGGCAACCATCTGCAGCGGTGTATAATAATCATGGGGTAAACTGGAGTAGCGATCCACACCTGTTGGCTCCAATTTCTATTGTGCTTTCTATTGTTCTCCATAGGGCAAGTTATCAGGCGGGCAACTTCGTGACGCCCTGACCATCTGGGGTATCTATTGTCACAATGGATCTGAGCCCCATCTCACAGATCCCCAATGCGGCATTTACCCCAGTCTCGATGGCTTCACGCAGACGTGTCCTGTGGATGACTCCATGTAGACGGGTTTAATTAGAGTCTGTCAGTCCGGAACCGGCGGGGTTATTTATGTAGATATAAACTGCAGCCATCTCCCGTAGTTTCAATGGCATCGCAATCACTTTACTATACACCAACAATCTATCATCACGCTCTCGTTTATTCCGAAACTCTCACAATGAAGTTTTCAGTTACTTCTGTCGTGGCTGCCATGCTGGCCGTGGTCAACGTACGCACCTCGATACGACATACGCCCACTTACACCAGAGCTAACAATGTACTGTAGGGCCTACCTAGCCCGCCCTTGGCTGAACTAGACGCTTTCAACGTAATCGGCGGAGTCACCTGGACAGGCGAGGTTCTCCCAGGAAAGAACGTTACCTTCAGCGGCACCATGCAAGAGGTCCGGGCAAAAATACTAGCCGAAAACCCCGACTACTTCAGTGCCTATGACAACGAGGCGGGAATCGAGCATGGAAGCCATCTTCAGAAGCGATGGGTACGCTTGTACTCTTGTCCGCTGTCGTGTTTTGTCTTTCTCCGGGATAACGATTAACATGGTCGCAGGAGCTGAAGCAGCCTCCGGACTGCAACTACGGTAATTTCATTCGAAGAATAAACGCCATAAAATTCATCAACGGTACGTCAGATGACCCTGACTCCCGTACCTGCGCAAATACATGGTCGCTGACACTTTCTCGTCATGGTGCAGAACTAAACGCCAAGGGGGGCGGTAATGCCATGTGCGGTGCGCCTCCGCGTCGAGGACCTGGACTGGGGGGTTGCTCCAGAGTTAGCTGTAGTTGGGGATCGCAGATGTGGTTGTGCAATGATAATGATTACCACTTGGATCTTCCTTGCACCGAAGTTGCCTCTGCTTTGTTTGAGCTGAGCAATGTGTGCTATACTGTCGTAAGTCAACCCGGCGCCCACGATGCAGACAAATCCCTAACGTTTACAATAGCAACAAGGTGGTGATACGGAGACGCAGGGCCAGGTCAGTATTTCGTCTCGCATTGTAATATCAACCACGGCGTCGTGCTGACACACTTGGCAGCTCTTTACTACGGATAATTGGAATGTTATTATTGATTATTATGGTGACTGTCATTCAAGCCCTACTGTCGGTCGATAGATCTGCTGGGAAAGAGGCCAAGGGCCATGGCGTCGAGCGTGTTATAAAGCAGAGCATCTTGCATTTAGAACTGGCCTAAATAGAGTGCTGTTCATAAGAGAAAGTTTCAGCTGCTCATTTTTCACGCACTCTTCTTAGTGTCTCGTGAAGACTTGCCACTACACAAGGCTGTGACGCCAACCGGGTCAAATGACGTTTTATATCCCC